TGAGGAGGCGCTGACGGGAGACAATCAGAAGCCTCGGTCTGGTTGACGTTCAACTGAAGAAAGTTGGCATCGGGTACCCGATTGGAGGGGTTCGTGAAGGGAGTGACGGGAGAGGAAGGAGCGAAGCTGGGAAGCAACAACTCGTTCCAGGATCTTGGAGAGGAAAGGGAGGTTGGCGATGGGGCGGTAGTTTGAGAGTAGAGATGGGTCCAGGGAGGGTTTTTTTAAAGATAGGAGTGATGACGGCCGTTTTTAAAGGGGTGGGTGGGAACGGTGCCAGTGGACAGGAAGAGGTTTATGATGGCTGTGAGTAAGGGGGCAAAGAGGAGGGACTTGAAGGAGGCAAGGGAAGGAACGAGGCAAAGAAACCCACAAACTAAAATCATGGTGGCGGTGTTGAGAGAACTGAATTTATTGGAGCTTTTGACTGTTGTACAGAGTGATCAACGCTCACTGTTGGAGCCGTGGCCTTGAATAACAAACCTGATGTAAATGTGCTGCTGCCTCAGCTCCAAGGTCAGGCAGTCGTGCTGACTCCTGTCTTTTACAGTCAGCGCATTGCAGTGCGATCAATATTTAAAGCCTTTTTTTTCACTGGGGTTTTGTACCCAGAGGTTTTGCAGTTGGAATGTGAATGTGCTAATCCTGGGATATATAATACTAATAATCTTTGCATTTGATACAGCACCTTATCAAGTCTTCGAGTCGTCTCAAAGCGCTTCACAGAATATACTGTAAAGTGAATTGACTGTATAATTTTTGAGCAAAACGCGGCAGCCAATTGCGCACAGCAGCGTCCCACACACAGCCGTGGATTAAGTGGGTAGAGGGTGCATTTTTTTGGGGGGGGGGCTGCAGGAAGCTCAAAAACATGGCATAGAAGCACATTTTCATTGTAGTTGCTGTAGAACCTGAGATGCCTTAGCAATCTCCAGACGTCCTTGTCTTCAGGAAAGTGTCTCTGGGTTTAACACCTTATCCAGGGGTTGCGGGGACAGGGGCTTATTGGGACGAATGCTTTCGATAAAGTTCCTCTGTAAAACATGTACTGGGTCAGTCAGCAGTTTGCTCTAAATGTATTGGATAAAAGATAATCACTGCATCCACTAGAGGGAGTGAACGCTTGTCCTCCCACATCTTCTGCTCCATTGTATGTTGGGCTGTGTTTATGTGGGACCTTTGACAGGGAGGCATTCGCTCTCAAACGTTCAGTGAAAGGGTGGGGGAAGTGGAGCGAGCCCAACCAGGAGTCCGATACACGTGGAAACCCATCACCGTGCTTCAAAGACTATCCAAACCTGGAGTCCTGTAGCTTAGTGGTCAGAGCATTCGCCTCGCAAGAGATAGGACCCGGGTTCATTTTTCGGGCAGGGCAAAACCTTGGGTAAATTTCCTTACACTGTTTCCCTAGTGACAGCTATGTGTAATTCCGTTTCTTCTGAACAAGTCAGACATCTCCTGCACCCACCTCCTCCAGCCGGGATCAGGAGCAGAGCCGGCTCAGAGGGACATCTATCTTTCCAATGCCTCGGTGGAACTTCTTTCGGCCCCGTGACTATGTTTTTCTCAAACAAACTCTTATGCAAGTCCTGAGCCTTGAACTGCCCCCAAGGTTGTGTTCTTGCAAATACACAGCCACTGCATACTTGCTCTTAAGGCTTTGATACGCTTTGAAGTTATAGATGCTACGTTAAAGTAAAAGCAAGGTTTCTGTTCTCTGCCCCCCTGATTTGAGTCGCTACACGGGGTCCCATAGTGTAGTGGTTAGCGCGCTCACCTCGCAAGCAAGAGGACCCAGGTTCGATTCCTGGGCAGGGTGAAACTGTAGACAAGTTTCCTTACTCCACGCGCCTCTGTTTACCAGCGGTCAGTAGGAACCCGGTTGTTAGTCGATTGGCGGATCGCTTTTCCGGGGGTAATAATCCCTTCCAAAAAAAATGTGGTCACTTAATCCACGGCTGTTTGTGGGACACTGCTGTGCGCAATTGACTGCCGGGATTCACCCCCAAAATATACAGTCACTACACTTTACAGTATATTCTATGAACGCTTTGAGACGTCTCAAACACGTGATAAGGCACAAAATCAAATGCAAAGATTATTATTATCATTAAACTGATACGATGGACCAAGAGTTAGGAGAGGCAACGGATGATTGATTTCTGTTCTCCGCCCCCACCCCTACCGTTTGAGTCGCTATACAAAATCGAACTTGTTTTTTTGGAGGGGGGAGAGATTTGGTTATTTAGAGACAAAGCTGGAACCTTATTTGGCGTGTGAATAATACTGCATTATTTACTGAGTAAAATACACAACGGACGTTTCATTAGAGCAGCAGTGAGAGAAGAGTGTTTATGTGGGGTCAGTGTCAAACTGCTCTGATAGTCTCTGTCCTTCAGGACAGTGTGTGCAAGGCACAAAGTGTGAAACTTTCACTCGCCTTTTCTATCTGACAAGGGAGCTGCTTCGTAACATAGACACAGTGTAAAAAGCCGGCGGGAGCAGGCAATTAGCCCATTGTGTCTGTTCTCCCTCTTAAACCCTCTAATCACCCTTTATTTGGTCAAATAATAATCCTGGCGTTTGGTACAGCATCTTATCATGTCTTCGAGACGTCTCAAAGCGCTTCACAGGATATGCTGTAAAGTGAATTCACTGTGTATTTTGAGTGAGGGTCAGGGGAGGGGGTAGATAGGCTGATGGTGGCACAGGTGGGTCCGTAGGGAGGAGAGGGGGCATGAAGCCGCTGGTGCCCACTGAGCGGAGGAAGCAGCTGAGTTGGCAGAGCCATAAATCTAACCATTGATTGTGGGCCTCAACACAAACTTTACTGGAATAGAAAGTTACCAAACACGTTTGTGCTGGGAGGGAGGGAGGGAGAGAGAGAGAGGGAGGGAGGGAGGGAGTGAGAGAGAGGGAGAGAGAGAGAGGGAGGGAGGGAGTGAGAGAGAGGGAGAGAGAGAGAGGGAGGGAGGGAGGGAGAGAGGGAGGGAGGGGGAGAGAGAGAGGGCGAGGGAGGGATGAGGAGAGAGAGAGGGAGGGAGGGAGAGGGAGGTGGGGAGAGAGAGAGGGAGGAGGGAGGGAGGGAGTGAGAGAGAGGGAGGGAGAGAGAGAGAGAGGGAGGGAGGGAGGTGGGGAGAGGGAGGGAGGTGGGGAGAGAGAGAGAGGGAGGGATGGAGGGAGAGAGAGAGGGAGGGAGGGAGAGGGAGGTGGGGAGAGAGAGAGGGAGGGAGGTGGGGAGAGGGAGAGAGAGAGAGAGGGAGGGAGAGAAGAGCGCTAAATTGGTTTTAAAAATAAAAGCTTTTTCTCTTTGGATTTGCTCTACTCTCTGGAATGTGTAAACCTCGGGAATGTGGTTTAAATGGTTTGGCAATGCCAGAGCTGAGGGGCTGAACAACAGCCAAACAGCCAGAGACAGAGTGGGTGAGGGAGAGGGAG